GGGCAGAGGGGTGAAACGCAGAGGGTAGCTAGCATCCGTGGCGGGGCGGGAGGGGGTGCTCCCTATGGTCTCTGTGTGTGTCAGTGTTCATGTGCCACAGGGGGCCACGTGCTCTGTGCCCACTCTGTGGATTCCCATGTATGTGCCTACCCACACAGTGCCCTTGGCGGACTAGCCAAGTCACATGTTGCTGGCCAGCGGTTGGTGTCCTCTCACTCCCATGCAGAGGATGGAGAAGTGTATTTTCCACTGTCACACACACACACACACACACACACGCACACGCACACGCACACGCACAGCATTAAAAAGAAAATAAACCTTTTTGAAAAAATTCTGTCTTCAGCCAGGCATGGCATGGCATTGAATGCCTTTAATATGAGCACTTGGAAGGCAGAGACAGGTAAATCTCTGAGTTCTGCAGAGAAACACTGTGTAGGTTTTGTTGTGTTTTTTTGTTTTGTTTTGTTTTTCTTAAAAAAAAAAAAACCCAACAAAACCAACCAACCAACCAACCAACCAATCAAAAAATTCTGTCTCCAACTTGGAAAGGGATGTCCTAAGAATGTAATTCTTTCTTTTTTTGAAAAAAATGTGTTTTAGACTTATTTATTTTATTTTATGTGTATGAGTATCTCATTTATTTGTTTGTTTTGTTTTTTGAGGCAGGGTTTCTTTGTGTAGCTCTGGCTGTCCTGGAACTCACTCTGTAGACCAGACTGGCCTTGAACTCACAGAGCTCTGCCTGGCTCTGCCTCCCTGAGTGTAGGAATTAAAGGTGTGAGCTGTATGAGTGTCTTTTACCCAATTAGAGACAGAGTCTAAATATGTAGCACAGGTTGGCCTTGAACTTGAAGCCCTCCTATGTCATCATCCTAAATGCTGGGACTATGGGTGTGCTCGACTGTGTCAGGACGGGTTCTGTCTTAGTCACTGCTGTATTGCTGTGGTAAGATGCCATGGCCAAAGCAACTTAGAAAAGCGTTTATTTGGAGCTTACGGTTTCAGAGGGTTAGAGCCCGTGTCCATCGTGTTGGGGAGCATGGCGGCAGCCGGGCAGGAGGCTTACATCACATCTTAACCCACAAGCACAGAGCAGAGATAGTCTAGCTAACTGGGGACTGAAACGTCAAAGCCAGGACATCTCCTCCGACAAAGCCACGCCTCCCCACCTTTCCCAAGTAGTTTAACGAGACTGGAGACCAAGCATTCAAACCAGATGAGCCCATGTGGCCCGTTCCCATTCAAAGCACTGCAGCATCTCTTTTTCTTCCTCAGACCTTGACAGTTCTGAATGTTCTTCTTTCCAATCACAGTGACCCTAGCGCACAGTGCAGATCATCCCGCTGGGGACAGAGTGATATCATCTGTAATCGTGGCAGTGTTGCACACTTGGGAGGCATAATTTGAGGTTAGCCTGTCAGAAAAAGAGGGGGTGCGGTGGGGGGGGTAGGACGTGGCTCAGCTGGCAGAGTACTTGCCTACGTGTATAAAACCCTGGATTTGATCACCAGCGGCAAACAAAGCAACTGTGACACATGTGCCTATGATCTCAACACCCGGGAGGTGTGGACAGAGGTTAGAAATCAAAGTTATCTTCTGCTTCGTAGGAGGTTCGAGGCCAGCCTGGGCTAGGGGTGAAAAAAAACAAAGCAAAACAAAACAAAATTGGAGCTGAGCATGATGACAGGTACCTTTAATTCCAGCACTCGGGAGGCAGAGACAGGAGGATTTCTCTGTGTTCCAGGCCAGCCTGGTCTACATAGTGAATTCTAGGACAGCCAGGGCTACATAGAGAGATCCTGCCACTCCTCTACACACACACACACACACACACACACACACACACACACACACACACACA